GAGATGAATCCTTTATACAATGAACAACTTCCCAAAACCCGGTAGTACTCTACAGAGTTTCGCTACAACTTCTAAACACAACCGTATGGAAATAAGTACAACAGTGTGAATATAAAATAGGAAGGTGACTCTGAAGCCTGCGAACGCAGCAGCAGGACTACCTTGAGTCTCCTTGGCAAGAATCCGCACAGCTACTAGCGAACAATACCTGGATCTGCACACAAAAAAATGTGCAGAAGTGTAGTATGAGCACACCACAGCGGCGCCCAGTAAGTACCAAGACTAACCTCGGTGGAGTAGTGACGAGTAACAGTCAAGACACCCACTGGTCTAATAAGCAGAACAAGCATAAGTATAGAAAAGAACTGACATGATATCTATATAAAGACTAAGCGATATTTCTAACAATACAGAAACTACAATAAAGAAAGGAAACAACAAGTAATAGTAGGAAACCATAATAAAGCTCACAAAAGTGAACTAAAAGAAATACAACCCCAGACTCGAAATCACAAATACAGTAAGGGTGAGTCATAACTCAGCAACTACGGCAGCCTTCACCTTGAGTCTTAACCAGCAAGCATCAATCAAATAATCAAACTGTTTTCAAGTGATAAAGATGGTTTGAAATATACTTACTTCAAATAAGGGTTCTTTTCAAAAGAGTTTCTTTAAAAATAGTACTTTCAAATATAATCTTTTCAAAAAAAAAAAAGATAATCCTCCGAATTTAAGTCACCCTGTGACACCTCATCTCATAATCATACAATACGGGTCTCAATACCTGAACCCTAACACTTGGCATCATGTGCCCTCATCACACCTCATAATCATACTGACAACTCACGTGCCAAAAGAGTCATTCTCACATGGAAGGAAAATAAACAAGGGGTGCGTCTATACTTAGAAATCTCAAAGATCCTCCTACCCGATAAGGGGGATTAACTACGTGTATGCTTGTGCAAGTGTCCTAACATAGTTCGCACCAACAAGTAAGTATAAGGAAATGGAACGGACAGCACCTATAATGTTTACACAGGGATAGGAACAATGAAAACATCAGCTCAGAACACAATGATATTAACAGGGGATCACCCAGGATATCGTTCCGTAGTCCCAAACGTAAATATGTGTGCTAGGGATCTCTTGGTATCCTCAATATATGTACTAGGGATCTCTTGGTGTCCCGAGGATCTCTTGGTATCCTCAATATATGTGGTGGGGATCTCTTGGTATCCCGAGGATCTCTTGGTATCCTCAATATATGTGTTGGGGATCTCTTGGTATCCTGGGGATCTCTTGGTATCCCGATGATCTCTTGGTATCCTCAATATATGTGCTGGGGATCTCTTGGTATCCCGAGGATCTCTTGGTATCCTCAATATATGTGCTGGGATCTCTTGGTATCCCGCACTACAGCCAAAATTAATATATGTGCAGGGGAATCTCCCGGGTGCAGTTTCGTAGTACCAAAATAAATACGCAACGCAACCAACAGAAACAACAGTTACAGCACAACAGAAAGCTCGTACATCACCACAATACATATAACCACAGCATGACAATAATACAAGGTAAGACAAGTAAATCAAATCAAGGACTATAAATCACAAGGAAACGGTAGAACCAGCTCACAAAGAATAACAATAGAAAAGAATGCTGGCATAAAGGGAATAGTTCAACCACGGGAAAACTAACATGTAGCAACGATCCCACAATATACAAGTCAATAACAAGGAAATCAACACGAGTCAAGTATTCCCAAATAAAGGCGAGTCAACAAGATATAAATTATCTAAACTCCTTTTAAGGTTGGACAAACTTTGAGGATATTCTAAAATTCAATTAAGGGAGGATGATCTTAGCTTCACCTAAAACTAAACAATTTCAGAAGGGGTGATAAAATTTTCAAATAAGATAAGCAACTGTGAAAAGAAAGCATGACAATAGGTGAGGAGAAATTCTTCAGTCAAATCAATTAGGAGTCAATTAGGCAATAAGAGTGAATCATGAAGCAATTAATTCCAATCAAGAATGTTGAGGTGAAATAATAAATAGGAAACTCAGTCATGTCAAGAACATATTCCTACACAGTGAATATAGAGACCTAAGAACACTAAAAGGCCAATTTTCCACAAATGAGTCCGAGAACGCACTCGTCACCTCGCGTACATGAACTACAATCAACATAGAAGACTCAAATCCTAAGGGGAAGTCCCCCACACAAGGTTAGGCAAGATACTTACCTCAAAGATGACATACCGATACTCAAAAATGCACTTCTCGGGTGAAAAGACCTCCGGACGGCTCAAATCTAACAAAATTAACTTCAAAGCACAAATAAAACGCATACGGAACTATTCCGGATCATAAAGTCCCAATCTTTAACAAAATAAAAAAATCGGTCCAAAAATTGACCCCCGGGCCCGCACCTCGGAACCCGACAAATTTTATAAAAAATCGAATACCCATTCCAATATGAGTTCAACCATACAAAATTTATTAAATTCCGATACTATTTGGCCCCTCAAATCATGATCTTTCATTTTAGAAATTTTCTTCAAAAACTAACATTTTCCTCAACCCAAATCACAAATTAAATGATAAAAATGAACACAAATTCATGGAATATAATCAATCCTAAGTGAAGAACACTTACCCAATCGATTTGTGCGAAAATCCCTCAAAGAGTCGCTCAAAATCGAGCTCCACAAGTCAAGTTATGGTGAAAATGGTGTAACCCTCGGTTTGGAATTATATTTTGTCCGGCCAGGCTTTTGTGCATCGCGAACGCGGAGGGAGTATCGCGTTCGCGAAGAAGAAAATGAAGGTTGCCCAGGTTACTCATCGGGAACGCGACAGTGCACCCGCGAATGCGAAGAAGGAAAGTCTGATGGCCCAAGGACTGCTCTTCGCGAACGCGTGAAATCGTACGCGAAAGCGAAGGGTGGGATGGAATAACTACGCGAACGCGATAGAGAGATGTGAACGCGATGAAGGAAGAGACAGAGCTTCGCGAACGCGAGGCGTTTTACGCGAACGCGAAGTAGGAAAAATGAGGCGACCAGCAGAGACACTTCGCGAACGCGGAAGGGGCTCCGCGAACGCGAAGGAGGATATCAGATACCAGAAACAGCAGTTCAAAAACAAGGGAAAATGGCCCGTAGCCCACCCAAAACACACCCGAGGCTTCCGGGACCCCGTCTAAACACACAAACAAGTCATATAACCTAACATGAGCTCGCTCGAGGTCTCAAATCACATCAAACAACACCGGAACATCGAATCACACAAAGAATCAAACTTAGGAACTTTCAAACCTTCAAACTTCCAAAACTCGTGATGAAACCTATCAAATCAACCCGGAATGACGCCAAATTTTGCTGACAAGTCCAAAATGATATAACGGAGCTGTTCCAACTCTCGGAATCTCATTCCGACCTCGATATTACGAAAGTCAACTATGGGTCAAACTTCTACATTTTCCAAACTTCAACTTTTCCAACTTTTGTCGAAATGCCTCAATTTACCCTACGGACCTCCAAATATGCATCCGGACGCGCGCCTAAGTCCAAAATCACCATACGAAGCTGTTGGAATCATCAAAAATTCATTCTGGGGCCGTTTACTCAAAAGTCCAATTCCGAACAAATTCTCATCGCTTAACTCCCAAAACCAGATTCCTTCTTGCAATTTGACTCTGAATCATCCGTTAACTGAATTCAACCATGCACGTAAGTCGATACTCATATTATAAAGTTGTTCTAGACCTTCGCCGCTGAACGGAGCTTAAATTCTCAAAACGACCGGCCGGGTCGTTACATATGCTTAAAAAAATAAACAAACTTAATGATTAAAATCTGAATAATTAAGATTCAAACTTTAAAGCAAACACATTTAATGTCTGAAATTTGAATAATTAAGTTAGACCTCCATTAAGTACAAAGGCCACATTAGTAATTTAAGCATTTTTAATTGAATAAAGCCGATTTCAAGAATCCCTATTTATCCACTCACAATTAATCAATCAAGTAATTAGATATATCTCTATCTCCAACTAGTTGATGTTACTACTGTGCAAAAAGAAAACTTTGCTTATTCAACACTATACCTAGGTGCTAATTGTTAGTAAACTGTATTTATAAAATAATTCTGGAGAAAATAAAATGACATAAACAGAAACATAAACGAAACACAAATTAATCTGAGCACACTGAATTCACAGTGTTTTCTTAAGGAATTTAATCCTCTCCTAGTACCCAAGGTTATGGATTATTTCCTCCCAGGATAGAACGAATTACACACTGGTGTAGTGGTACTTCAAACCCCAGTGTTTCAGCGAACACAAAGTTCAGTAGCAAATCACACTTACTGTTGCTTTCTTTGAAGTTAAAACAGTGCGGAAGAGGAGGAGAAACTCAAAAAATCGCATGGAAAATCTGAGAGAATGGACTTGTATTTATAGCCAATGTTAGGCTGAAATCTGAAGAGGTGCAACTCTTCAGTATGGCTGTTTATGCAAAACGGCCATAGCATAAATGCCATAACATAAATGGCTATTTACTCAACAATAAAGAGGGAAAATTGAAGATGGTAGTTAATTTTCTGTTACAAAAACAGAAAACGGAAAAATGGAAACGGTTGGATTTTAATATTAATATTCTTGGATGTTATTAAAACGGATATTTAATAACATTTCTGTTAATATTTACTATTAACAAATAAATTTGGTCCAAAAAATTAATACCTAGGTGCTAATGTAACACGTACCTAATTCAGTTTTAATTGAAAATACTAGGTTGCCAAACTCACATGGACTATTAAAAATGTATACTGTACGTATTGATGTTACTATTGTGAAAAAAGAAAAATTTGCTTATTCAACACTATACCTAGGTGCTAATGTAACAAGTACCTAATTTAGTTTTAATTGAAAATACTAGATTGCCAAACTCACATAGGCTATTAAAAATGTATACTGTACATAGGATTGGATCCAAAAAATCTGACAAAACCCAATTATCTTATCTCATCTTATCCAATGAATCAAAAACACCCCCTTCAACTGATCATATATTGTCAACTCCAAAACACACGAAACTCACCTAGAAAACAACATTTTTTTGATTTGTTATTGTTCTGAAGCTTTAACAATGTCAAGAATGTCAGAGAAGGATCTTAACACCATGAGAAGGAGAGTGGCATCAGTTGCAAACCATCTTTTGCCTGCTTTTTCTTCTTCATCTCAACATGTTGTTTCTTCAATTGGGTGTAGCTCTTCCATTAATGATAATTACCACAGAATTCATGGTGAAGTCCCAACCCACGAGCCCTTTTGGAGACTCATTCCTTCTGACGAGAATGGGAAGGATTTTACTGATATCATTTATGAGAAAGCTGTTGCTGAACCCATTGCTAAGGTTTTTTTCCTTTTAATTTTTTAAATTTGTTTTTAGAATTCATTAGAAAACAGTTACCTACTTTGTTTTGTGGGTAATGTTTATTGACTGTTAGCACCCTTTGCAATGTTACCTGTAGGAAACTGAATAGTATGCTTCAAGAATGTGAATTTGAGCTATTTTAAGTTCATTTAAGGTGGGAAATTAAGTGAATTAAGCTAATCACTTTGTTCCAAGTATGTGGCACAAAGAAAGAAATATGGTCTAAAATAAGCCTTAGACATTTGTTTGACGGTAATCACCGTATGAAGGGTAACATGAAAATTTGTTCCTAAAATAGAAATATAATATTCTTTCTGGGACACGCTATAAAGAAAAGTGTGTCGTATAACTTGAGACCGAGAGGGTATTTAGCTGCAATGTTTCTCACTGACGGGCGCTTTACTCTATTACTGTTAGCAACATTAGGTTCTTACTTTTCATTGCATCTCTTTTTTACTATTAGCAACTAGTAGCTGGTACTGGATCCTCTTTGTTGCTATTACTACCTAGGGGTGGCCTGAAATGAGAATGTAAGAAACTTAGAGGCTGGAATGCTGGAGCTTTCGTTTAACTCATGTTGTTTACCTTTCATCTCGTAGATAACCATCAATAGACCGGATAGAAGAAATGCTTTTCGACCACACACCATTAAGGAGCTTATTCGTGCATTTAACGATGCCAGGGATGACGGTTCAGTGGGAGTCATCATCCTCACAGGAAAGGTAAGTATGAAGAAAACACATATCATGTACAAACTCAAATAGCTAAGCAATTCAAAGTTAGTGAAATGTTTTCAGTTTCACATGTGAGGAATGAACTTGAGTCCAATATCAAGTATTCACTTCCAGCCTGCCATGTGATAATACTTGGTGACTGAGATGAAAGACTGTAAATTAATTTCCTTGTGAATGTACATCAAACAAGTTTGTGTTTGGACTCCTAATTGTTCTGTTCCTTTCAAAGACTCTCCCTCTTAAAAGATGTAGTAGGAGCATAAATATAGTTAATGGAATTTGTTGTTGACTAGAACTGACCACTTCTTCTGATGGTTTTTGCTTCTTTGCTATGCATTTGGACTAACTGCTCTTTTGATTTGCTTCATTATCTTCTGTTGGTAGGTAATCCTATAGTGAAACTCCTAACTGGTTTTGCAGAGTCTTTTCCTTTTCCCGGACGAGATATCAAGTTTGACTTGCTCTTTTGGCTTATATTGTTGGAATAAATAAATACGAAAAGCTTTTTTATACCCTAAGAAATCACTTTCTAAATTTCTTATTATAGCGTGTTAACTTCAGTAGATTGTATCTGTTTAGCTGTGCCACATGCTTTGTTCTGAAGAATGACTTGATGCAGGGTACAAAGGCATTTTGTAGTGGTGGTGATCAGGCATTGAGAAGTAAGGATGGTTATGCTGATTTTGAAAGTTTTGGTCGCCTCAATGTTTTAGATTTACAGGTAACCTAATCCGTCATCTTCTTTAATTTTTTACTTAAAATAGATAGATAGTTTTAGGACTATAAATAAATAAAAGGAAACTGATATTAAGTTTTTGATGTGTCGCATTCTTAGCTTCACTTGATGTATTTTTTGAGTTTACCTTATTCTGCTTCTTTCCTGCATAGGTGCAAATTCGCCGTCTTCCAAAACCAGTAATCGCAATGGTAAGGATCTTTTTCTTTCTTCTGTTAAGTGCTTTAATTTCGTGACCCCGTTTATCACATAATTCAATTATCTTTGGATATCTCTTTTGCTTTTCTTGCGACTAAGGTTGCAGGTTATGCTGTTGGAGGCGGACACATCTTGCATATGGTTTGCGATCTAACAATTGCAGCAGACAATGCTATATTTGGTCAGACAGGCCCAAAGGTGGTTTTATCAGTGACATCTTTTTTACATGTGTGCTTGAGAATACATATATTAGTAAATGAGCATGTATTCAAGTACTGTTTGGAATAAAGCGATGTTCTATGTTGAATCAATATCCCAGCTTATTTACAAAGTCAATTGACTTCTTGCTGTTCCTATTCTTAGTACTATAGCCTTCTTGACTTTATTCTTATTCTTTTTCCTTTGTGTTACACTTTGAGGCCCTTTCTGCACGAATAATCTACATAAAGTTAAAATCCGATGCCAGGCATGGATTCAAGAGATCTGATTCTTTTGCAAATTGCAGGTAGGAAGTTTTGATGCTGGTTATGGAAGTTCAATTATGTCTCGTTTGGTGAGCATCTAATCTTGTTTTTTCCTTTATGGATAACAGATTGGTCTTTTTATTTTCATGTTGATAGAACTTCTTGATCAAGTATTGGTGTAAAAACAAGCAAAGTGCACCTCAATCATAATTAAGTAATCTCATTCATATTGGCTTATATCGTTTGCTGGCTGAACAGGTTGGGCCGAAAAAAGCTCGTGAAATGTGGTTTTTGACAAGGTTCTACACAGCCTCTGAAGCAGAGAAAATGGGACTTGTGAATACTGTTGTTCCAGTGAGTATATCGACTGATACTACTTCCTTAACCTTAGAGCTACCATAAGTGTAACAACCATAGGGAAGTGCTTAGAATCTACACCACAACACACTCATCAATTAGCTCAAAATTATACTCCTCGTGACATATCTATAGGTCCCCTTAAAGCTTAGAGAAAGGTTTTACTTCCTCCGTCATAGGAAATGCATTGGAGTTTTCTAATGCAATGTCTTGTTTCCTTTCACAGTTAGATAAGTTGGAAACAGAAACAATAAAATGGTGTAGAGAGATCTTAAGAAATAGTCCTACAGCAATACGGGTGCTAAAATCGGCTCTCAATGCAGTTGATGATGGACATGCTGGACTTCAGGTATATTCAACATCAAATATTTTCCACTTTTCCCTTATATTTCAAAATGTTCTCATATTAGAGCTAGCAAACTTTACCCAGTTATTTTACTTTTCGTTTTCCTTAGCCGCTACTCTATGCATTTCTCTTTTCATTGTATAAAGCAAAGCACAGAACATAAATCTCCATAATTCTGGAAATATCGAGATTTATGGAACTGAAGAAGGCAAATACTCATTTTCTTTCTTTAAAATTATCTCAGGGGCTTGGGGGAGATGCCACTCTTCTATTTTATGGAACTGAAGAAGGCAGCGAAGGCAAGAATGCATATAATGAACGTAGACGACCAGATTTCTCAAAGTTTCCCCGGCTGCCTTGAGTTTCCACTGTTCTTGTTATCTGTTAGTACATTCCTTATGATGGTATACTAATTATGCCATACTAATAAATTTTCCTTTAATTTATTTACTTATTTGGAATAAAAGAGTCCAAATGGAGTGACATTGGTGATGAGGATTCATATGACCAATCTCAACTTACTCGGGGTTGAGCTGTAGTTTGTCATATAGGAATGCTGATTCGATTAGAGACCCGCGCGCGCAGTTTGTGACTGACAAATGAATTTTGGACTCAGCTCTTTGTCTCACAAATAAACTACAGTACCTACAAGATTGAGACTACTCATTTTATCCAAAAGCTACATTACACAAATAAGGCTGTGATCACCAACCAGATGGATCTCGACCTTCTTTTATTATAGCAAAAATAGCATGATAATAGAATGGTCAAAAGCTTAAAGTTGTAACTGTAAGGAGCTGAAAGTTTATATTTATCCATCGAAGCTTCGGATTGCGTAGAATGGAACTTGTCAATCGTTTTCCTTTAAAATCCAAATTCTGTATAGGAGTATTATTTTAATGACATCTTTTTACTAGAAGAGAATGATAACATAAACAATTAGTACTATATAAGAAATACAGTTGATGTCGACTGATTCAAAACCTTTGTAGCAAAGAAAGCTGACTAAGGAAATTTCTCTTGTTATTTTTCATTTGCTTAGTACCATACGTTTCTTTTCATGAGCCAAAAGTATTTTCCAATCCCATGGAAGTAATCCACTGTCTATTTAGTAAATTTCAAACTAAACGAAATATACAAATATATTAAGGGTCTGTATGGTTATAATGCTCAAATAAACATGCCAATAATCAAGAGTTTAGGTGGTTGTAATAACGATTAAGTCATTCCAAAGTCAATTGCAACCTATATGAGGTAAGAGATATAACATAAAAGGAAGGACTATAACATGTTAAAACTAAAATACCGATTAGATTACAATACGTACTAAATCTATATCTATCTATCTATATCTATATTATTATAAAAGCATGAATAAAATGTTGGATTACAAAAATAACTTTTTAATATTAGGCTTAATAACTCTCAATAAAAGGACATAATCGGAATTCTTGACATTAGCCTTGTAATCCTATTAGTTTTAGAACATAATACTACACGTTAGGAATCCTACATGATTATCTTTAGGAATCCTACTATTATAATTATTTTCGGGCATATATATTAACCTTGTAATTCTATTCCGTACTTTTATGATATACTTCTTAAAAAAATTACTATTACTAATTTAATTTGAAAGCATATTATATTGTCCAAATCCATTTAGAAACAAGAGAGCCTATATTTATTATAAAAGCCGATTATTAAACAGAAAAACTCATAGGGAAAGGACATAGCTGTAATAACTTATTTTTTGGACTACAATAACTTCTATGTTAATTTTTTTAATATTTAAGATTTTAAAATTCATATAATCTTGTCTATTGAATTCTTATTAAAAATATCTAGGAAGGTTTAATAAAATCAATTTCATAAGAATCCTCCAGAGTGATAATGCTCCAGATTGATAACACATTATCACTCTGTAATATTCAATACCAAAAAAAAATAAAAGTAATGTTAGACGGACTGCATAAAGCGTTGATATTGAGAAAAAAGATTCCAAGATAATATATTATTATATTATATTTAAACTGCTTTCCTAATCAAATAATATTTTTTTATTATTAATTTTTAGTGTAATATTGAAAAATATACCCAATTATTAAAGAACAACTAAGAAAATTTTAAGAATATAAATGTGTGAAAAAAGAAAGAAAAAGGTTGGTAAGATCCAATAACACTAATGATTTTGCAGACATAAAGATCTAAAAGTGGAATGTCATCGATCTTTTTACTCTTTGAAAATAAAATTTATGATGGATAAAATTATAATCACGGTTAAATATTCAAACATGAGATGAACTAATATTAAGAATCTAAATCAACAGAAAATAAATTATATTTTATGTTAAAACCAAATAATCAAATCTTTCAATTAATTATTAAGCAAGAGAATCCAATTAAATTATTTTTTAAATCATCATGTGAGTAAAATTATTTTTCAAGTTAAAAAAAATCTTATGGTACATAAATTTATTCCATAAAAAGAGTGTTAGAGATTAAAAAAAATATATCACAAAGTAAAAAGAGATTAGTATAATATTAAAAAGGTCATATACGTGTTTGAGGAAGCACAATCAAAGCTAAATCCTGAACAAGAATAAGCTTTCAAGACTATATTATAAAAAATCGACTCTGGTATAATGCCTCTAATGAAAACGAAATATATTCCTATGTCATGCACTACTTGCAAATGTCAGATCAAGAGGCATGATATTGTTAGCAATAAGAACAAGTGGTGTACCAGCAATGATTTTATTATGAGGTCGTACAACTCACTTCATATTTGATATACCTCTTCAAATAACTGAAATAACCATCACAAAATTATCAAATCAGAGCAATAGCGCTAAATTTATAAGGAAAGCAAAAGTGATAATATGGGATGAAGCGCTTTTGGTTAAGCGTCAAACGATTGAAACAATAACCCAGAGTTTTAGAGATATATTGGATATCGATGAACCGTTTGGTGGAAAAGTCATAGTTTATGAGGTGATTTCTGTCAAGTACGATCAGTAGTTCCAAATTTGACCAAAGCAGAAACTGTAAAAGCTAGCTTGCCAATATTATACTTATGACCTCAAATGAAAAATATTCAAATGACAAGAAATATAAAAGTAAGAACAGATCCTACATTCAGTGACTTCTTGCTTCTGTAGGAAACGAAGGGAGCATCCAATAAAAGATGATTTGGTTCTTGTAGAACACTTGGTGATCAACCCTAATGGTAATAGTAGTACATTTAATAAGGAAAATATTTTCATCATTAGATTAAAATGCAATTTGTGCAAATTACATGATAGAAATTAAAGAGATATCTTAGCTAGCAGAAATGAATATGTTGATCAACTAAATAAAAGGTTGATTGCTAAGTTTTATGGTAAAAACAAAATATTTTTCAGTTCTGACTGAGTAGAAGATGATACCAACAATAACTACCAAGAAGAATACTTAAATACTTTGGTACCAAATGGCATTCTACCATACATGTTTGTTGTCAAGTTCATTATTTCTTACATATGTTAGTGTCAGTGTGTCACCATATACATAATAGACTAAGTTGAAATTGATCTTCCATTGCATATAGGTTGATTTTGAAGAAAAATATGCTCGTCATGCTACTGAAAAAGTAGATCTACTGAATAGCTTATATAATAGTACACATATGGTATATGAAAGTTTTGATAATAACGCCATACATGCAGAACTTATGATACTGGTCAATGTGCTTCTAAATATGTGTTTATCCCCGAATTCAACTTTCGTCTTCCGAAACTAAAGAATATCCTTTTAAATTTGTGTGAAAATAATATTCAGTATGTTTATCTTTTGTAGTTATAATAAATAAAGCACAAGGACAAAACTTCTAAATATTGAACTATATTTACCACAATATGTTTTCTTATACGAATAACTATATGTTGCACTTTCAAGAGAATCAATATAAAGAAGTGTTCGGTAAGATACCATGACATTAGATACCTTTAAACCACAATACATAATTATCTACTTAGCATGACTAGAATTGATCATTTATGTAAGTTCTGATGATATCCTTTCATTTTGAATTCACGTATTATGCTAATGTAATAATATCTTCTGGCATTTAAATGATGTTGTTAGTATTATATATAAATTTTTTCTCATTAATTAAGGTTTATTGTTCCTTATAAAAAATAAATATGTAATCCATCATGTGCCATTATTAACGTGCAACGCACGTTTATAGATACTAGTTATATTAAAATTAGGAAACCCTTATCTAAAAGGTTAAATTACTTAAATATCCTTTTAAAAAATTTAAATACCCTATTTAACCCTCCTTACTAACCTAAATACTCTATATTTAATTTTAAAAAAAAAAAGGTAGGTTTTTTGAAGAGCGAAGAGTTGCCTCCGTTTAAGTAACTTACAAACAGCCCTAAGGCAACTCTTCGTACTCAACTACTAGTGGAATCGCCGAGTAATAAAAACTAATAGTTACCTTTGGTAAACATGCTCACGTGAGATTGTCATGGTTTGAATCTCATGGGTTGTTGCAAGATTGCATCACCAAAAGGCTAAGAATTCCAGTATTTCCATTTCTATGTGGAATTAAACAGACAAACAACAAAGAAACCAATTGAATCTTGAAACAGAGAGGAACTTGAAGATTGACCAACTACATATAGTCAACGGTGGTTTTGCATTTAAAATGGTTTTCTCTAGGGGAAACTATGTCAATGGGAGGAATCAAGAAGGAAGTGGCGACATAAATAGGTTCTACTTTCTTTTCTATTTACTTTTAATTAATTTTCTTCCCTACGTTTTTTATGAAATTCAGTTTTTACAAATTTTAAAGTGAATGCTAATTATGTGATGATCATAAAATAGTTTATTTGCATGTTAGAATAAAATGTGTTTAAAAGTTAACTTTCTATTTTTCTATCAAATAAAATCGGTTTGTTGGTATACAATTTGATGGTATACATAAAATAGCTTTCAACGAAGAATAATAGTTCAATTTACGAATTAATATAGAAATGACTAACTGAAAACTAACCCAATGCAATCCTACAATGATCATTGATAATATTATACGTCAAGATGATACCACAGTAATTGTGGATAAAAGTGAAATAACTTTGAACAATATGTTTATAAATAAACGGATGAAACGAACACATATGCACGAGGAATATCATCTACAAGAAAGTATTAGCTGAGGAACCCTTAATTACATGTTGTATCTCATAAACATGACTCAGACAATTAAGTAAACGAGTACTAATTAAGTTTTGATTGCTAATTTCGTAGATTCAACCGATATCAAATTATCTTGACCTCGATAATGTCATGATCACGCCCAACTATGCCCTCTAAAAAAGGACTCTACGGACGTTGCAAATATAACCCGAGTAAAACGCCCAGGGTCGAATCCACAGAGAGTTAAGCTATCAATCACTATCTTTAGACCCACTAAACTCTTCAGAACCAGTTTCCCAGATGTTTGAATCACAGTTGAAGGTTGCTTTACTAACTACGATTGTAAGTAAATTACACGGCTGTAAATTAAAATGCTAAGGTTGTAAACAATGATGAGAAGAAGCTAAGGCAATGATTTCCCCTATTGAAAGAATCCCTTCTGTTTATGCTCATACAAATTTACCAACACATCTCTATTAATCATGAACGCTCATCTTACCGTAAATCTCTCCCGAGTAATCACAGTAATATACTAATTGCACTCTCCCGAGATACACTAGCTTACTTTATTTAGCCCAATTCACTTTAGATTACACCCAAGGCTTCGTTATCCCTAATTCCGCCTTTAAACCCGCAATTATAGATTCCTCTTAT